TGAGAATGTCTGCCTCTTTCTACTGATTCCTGGAGATCAAAGAACTGTTTGGAGTCACAAGGTAGCAGAGGGTTGAGACACACATTTGGTCAAGATGTGCCAAGGATCTTAAAGTTTTATCCTTCCTACAGAGGCTTCCTCCCAGGAACTTGCTATGCTTGCAGAGTCCTAAGTTTGATTTCTAGATCACATGTGTGGCCAGGTAAACTACACTTTTCAGGTAAACCTCAATGAATCTACCCACGAGAAAACCCAAGAGCCCCCAAGGGAGGCATAGAACTCTATTTGCAGGAACTTAATTTAATTTCTTATATACACTCTCCTTATAACCATGTGGCTTTGCTTCCTTTCAAATGTTTCCTGAAATATACAACAAATGACACCAAGAGGTTTTCACCTTGTGGTGGCCGCTTGGTCTACCTCAGCACCTCTACGACTCACCTGTCCCCTGAGGCCACAGGGGACAGCACTCTGAAAGACTTTTTTTTTAAAACTTAGAGCCCATCTCCAAATCAGTGGTTTTAGCTTCTGCCACAAAAGCTCCAAAACAAAAAGTCTTTGGGCCACACCTCTTTATGGGCTTTTCTCCTATGTGGTTGAATGTGACTCGTTTCAGAGCCAACCCAGTGCTTTTCTTCCTTGTTCCAAGAGTAAAATAAGCCCTCCAGGGAAGCCTGGCTGGATCCTAGAAATCTGTATTCACCATCACACACACCCCACTACAGTGACTTGCAGCCTTTAGGCACCACTAACATGGTAGCGAAGTTTAAAGATAGATACTGCCCTCTCGAATAGCGTTAAGGTAATAATAATAAAAGTCGAATACTTTTACTTGGCTAATGGTGAACACCAGTTCTAGATTTTCTTTTCTGCTTTCGCTGTCCTCATTTTCCATTGTCCTTGGCCAGAGTACTTTCAACATTTTGGAAGTTGTTTCTGTTCCTTCAGTCTGTGTATTTAAATGATACGCTTGGACTGTCAACTGCATCACATGCTGGCCCTCTGGGCGATGTGCCTCAAATGCCTTCCCGTTCCCAGGTGCAGAAGTGTCCCCCTTTCCCCTTTATCTTCCAGTATTGTCCTGTCATTTCTGTTTGTATCAATATTTGGTGTTTGCATCGTTAGGACTATGTAACTATTTCCCACTGCACTGGGTAATGAATGTTTTCTTTTATGGTACAAATCTTTCTTTTACCTCAAACTAATTTCTTCTTTCTACTTCAGTTTAGTTTCCTAAGTATCTGTCATTAATTTGACCTTCAATTGCTGGTAGAAAATAAATGTCCTTTACATTTCAGCTCCGTGGGTATTGTGTTAATTCTACCTTCGCTTCCCTGGTCCAGAGCCTCATGTCCAGCCCCAGCCTGAGCTGGCTGCTCTTCTGTCTGTCATCAGCTGTTAGTCTGGAAGATTCTTTTTCATCTTATTGGATTTCTATAGTTCACTGAAGACCCTTGTTTGCTCCATTACATCCTTTTAAATCCTTCCTCCCTGTTTTTTGATGAACAAATCCAGTAGAGAAAGAGCAGAAAAGATTTTTTTTTCTTCATTTTTTAAAAAATATTTTTGTTATGTCCAAACATGTCTGTCATGTCCATTCACTTAGTAGAAATTTTGATGTAGGTAAAATTTTAAATTTTATCAGAACTGTCAGAAGATTGATGTTACAGACCCAGTTTGGAATGAGAAAGTAGTCTGTTTCTATCATGTAAAAATTTACATGACGTCTTTGCCTAGAATACTTCTCTTTCCATTGTTCCTGATAGTCACAGTCCACAAGGCCTTCAACTGGGCTCTCCAAAGGTAAAGAAGAATAATCTATAGCTTTCATAAGTATATTTTGAAGCAATTCTTCTAAAATCAGTCCATCCCTTACATAGTGTAGGACTTTTTTTTTTCTAATCTAGGAACCAAAGACCCCAAATTACTTTAATTCTATAGTGAATTTTAATTTGCAAATCATATCTCGTAATACTTTCAAAATATTTGTATTTTCATGCTATTCAGGCCAGTTTCATTTCAGAGTGTCCTCAAATGTGCATTTGTTTGATTGATTTCTTATGAGTAGCTTCGTGTTTAATGTTATTGACAGGAATATTACATAGTTGATGTATTTTCTTTTATAAAGACTGGTTTTACTATTGCTTTCACAAGATTTTCATTTCATTTATTTTTATTTTCTTTTTTT